TGCTGCCTTTAAGTGGAAAGATAAGGCATAAATGTAATAAACAAACATAGAACAGAATACAGTACTAGTGTGAGAGTTAAAAACCACTCCCTGACTCCCCAACCCAATTCCACAGTGCTGTTGCTTTAGCCAAATTTCTTCCAGCCTGGGCCCAATACTAGAATCAAGCTGTGCTGAGGGAAAAAAAAACTGTTGTACACACAGATATACTGTGACCAAGAAGAGGCTGTTGCTTCCTCACCTGTGTCCAACCTTTTGTACAACCTTGGATTTCCACACACACACCAATTCCCTGCCATACATATGATGTGCATAGGAAGCATAAATAAAATACAAGTGACAGCTCTATTACTTACACCTGGCAAACCAGAGGAAATGGAATATATACCTGTAGACTGTAACCTAACTGGATCTCTGATCATTCTTCATTTTAATCATCATCATCAACATCATCAACAACAACTTTATATATGATGGTGGGTCACCCCTATCAACACCTCTGCCGCTCCTACAAATATTGTACAAAATAAATCTGCCATTATCACTCTCTGAAAACTTTCAAAGAAACAATGACTTCACTAAGGCCATTCTATACCAACAGACATCCACATCCTGACCTTGAACACATTCAATTCATAGTGCATTTATTAGAAGAGCCAATATTTTGTAACAGCTCAAATGCCAAATTCATACAGAGGTGAGGGACTTGGGCTGAAGGTATGGGAAAACCAGATTAAGTTTTCTCTTCAGTTACAAAACTTATTTAGGAAATTGGAAAAATCACCAAGGCAAAGCAAGGTGATTTGAGAATGAAAGTGGAAAGGCAAATCTATAATTCATAAGTGAAATTAATAGGTTTCAGCTGAATCCATCTTACACATTGAATAGGAAGCCAAGGCTGCAGACCTGTATATACATATCCGGCCATGTGCAATTTTCACTTCATCTTTTCAAAAAAGGTCTTGCTATCTACATGTGCAGTATATCACATGTGTGGAAGAGAACATCCTCTGTGTACAGGTTCAAAATGGATTTCCTGCCCTTTCCAGATGAAAGCATTTTGTAGCACTAGGACACGGAAAAGATCCTCACTTGAGATTTCAGAGAGCAACTGATAATCAAAGGAGAGCAGGACTGGGGGACTGTCTAGCTCTCGGTTTCCTCCTGCTGCATCCTAAAGTCTCCTTAAAGAAAATGGCATCAGTGGCATGCTTTGAAGATGGATAGCAACACCTAACTACTCCCCAGGTACATTTTATGTAGAGTTGGCTTAACATGCCTGACAGAGAAAAATGAATGGTTGAAACACATAATCTCAAGAGCATGGAAGCAGAGTTCATCTGCGAATAAAACATGAGAATGGAAAATACAAACTAAGATATTAATTGTTTTTGGATTTATACATCAACACACTGAAAAAGTTAAGTGGCTTTCCCTGTAAGATCACTTGGATCAGGATGCTGGATGTGTCTCTTTCTCATTATTCTTTGGCTACACTTGCAAAATTACTTGTTTTGGAGCCAGTCAGAATACTGATGATGAGTAAGACGTTTACAGCTGCTGTCTCAGACACCTGATGTGCCAAGAGACTAGGATCCTTTCCCCCACTAAGGCAGACTGGAAAATGACAGGGCAGGGATGTTGACACTTGGGGGAGCACTAAAACACTCCATCCTCCCACACATTCTAAGGCAGTGCATAATTTTTTGCTCACCTAGACAGTGAGCCATTAGTTCTTGTAATCCATGCCACCTTCCCTGCCATCTCTGGCAAGCACAGAGGATTTGGCGAAGGGTTTATTCTTGCACAGAACTGGGATTTGACCACAAAGAGTACCATTTCAGTAGGAAAGAGGCCTGTACATATACAGCAGGCCACCTTCCACAGGCCACAGGCTGCCCCCAAGCTTCTTTTCATCACTGACAAATTCCTTCCCATTTTTTTTCCTGGCACCCTACAATTCCTCCCCCAAAACAAAATGGAAGAACTGCACCTCCAGGAGGTGTAATTCTGCAACAAGGCATGCTCCCTCACACCTTATACATGCAAAAAATGAATGTTTTCGCATCTTTAGGAAAAAAAACCACAACCCAGAAGTGCTCCCCCTCCCCCATAAATTGGAAAGGCCGATACAATCTGGGAAAATGTGTGGTAGCATCAAAAAAAAAATGGAAAAAGTGCCCCTGCATCCATGAAGCTTACCAGCCTTGCCATATAGACATGCTCCACCACTAGTTACAAAGACGTGACTAGTTTGGGCAGGGCTTCATTCTGCAAATCCAGATGCTGAAGTGAGGGAATGATCTCAAGTCTTTTTGTGTATGCTTGAAGATTTAGGTAGGAAACATCTCTTGCATCCCCTCACGCAGAGCTCGGAATGGGCAAATGGTGACCAGGAAATAATTCTTAGTAACGTGTCCATTGAAGGAGTAAACATATTTGAAGATGGCACAGTCCGTCGGGACTATGTTGCTGCTATGTGCCATCAAGATGCCACTGACCCATAGCAACTCTGTGCATAACTGATTGCTGCTTTTGGAAACCCAGACACTGTAGCTTCCTTTACAAGGTCAATTCATCTCCTATTTGGCTTTCCTGCTGCCTCCAGGACTATACACCTGGATTTTTCTAAATACAGTATGTTGATAAGCTCCTAACATTCTAATACATTACTTCTACTTAAGATCAATACATTTGGAACACAAAACAAGGAAAGAAGAAATTGAAGGTAAATGCTAACCCTTGGGCCCTCCTAATGTGGTTGGATGCCAAGTCCCATTAACCCCTTCCAGAACTGCCAATGGCGAGGAACGATGAGACCAGGAGACCAATAATACCTAGAGGGCCACCAGTTCACCACCTGCCCTCTAATCAGTGCTGCTCCATTCAAACTGTTCTTGATAGCACCTGGATACAACCTTACCAAAGATTGTTCCATGCATCATAAAATTCTAGTAACAAAGATGCTTCAGTGTGGAAATTAAAAGTAGAACTCACTTCCCAGTGTATGAACACAGAGAAAAAAGGATCAGAGATTATGAACTACCTAACAGATTTCACATTAGTCCCCATTTGAAAATGTTTTCTTTGTAAGAATTGTGTAATGTGTGAATAGGCACTTGATGTCAACAGTGGATATGGCACAGAAGAGCACGTACAAATATATGTTAAGCTGACAAAAATCTACATTATATTGTAGACACTGTTATATCAGAGAACCAGGAGGGGAAAGCGCAGGTCCCAGCAACAAAGACACCTTGAAACATAATGGACAAAAGACAACAAACACAAAAGAGGTCAGTTCAAGTGCTTGGGGGGGGGGAACCCCTAAAACTGCAACTCAAACCACAAAAGATGGCTTGGAAAGGACTTGGTAGACTAGATAGCTTCATGAAGAATATGAGTTTTGCACAGAATACTGTAAATACTGTATAAAATCAATCAAATCCATATTGCTAAGACATCTGAAAATGTGTCTTGGACTTTGACACTCTTAGTGCTTGCTTCCCCAGCACATAATGCCACCTTTGTTACTAATTTACTAACTGCCTTCAGCACACCAGTTTGTAATGTTTAATCTAGCCGTGATTCTATTATTTAGGCACAAATATTATTCAACAGCTCTTTGAAAACTGTATGGGATTTGAGGCATAAAAACAGCGAATGCATTCCATATTGTCAACATTGTTCTAAGCAGCTACACACTGGAACATTACGAGTGCTCTGGAGTAGGTTTCTATTCTTTACTATAATTTACTGAAACAACACCACCACAATGTGATTTGTCATCCAATGACAGGCTGTGGTTTTATTGACCAGGTTTATGAATTCTTTCAAGGAAAACATGTGTAGAAGAACTTGAAAGCCTATAAGATCGGCACCCAGATACATTCTGGAATCTTTATGCCGAGTTTCTCCATCAGCAGTGGAACTCCCAGTGGTTCTTAATTTCCTTTGTCCCCAATAATCTTAGCAAGTGCTATGCCGATTGAGGTTGCTTATTTGAAAGCAGCTTCTTGTCCCTCTCTCCGCTGAGCTATGCTTGGGGTCCATGTGGAGCCCTGGCTTCCTTTCTTTCAAGTCATTCCCAAAGTGAGACACACAATGGGTGTGTTGTGCCCTTGTGTAGGGTGGATGGGGGAGCTCTCGGAAAAGGAGGTGTGAGCTGCCTCTCCTACCTACTGGCCTCTTAACAGAGCAAGCATCAGGAACTAATCAAACACAGCAATGGGGCGTGCAGCCCATAAAAACTCGTGCAAATGCGCTTTCCCTCCTGACCTACATACAATGTAAAGTAACACAATACAATACATTACAATGCAAGAGCAGAAGAGCAGTAGTGCAGGAGGGCGGTGGTGTTCTTTTAATCTAGTTATAACAATAGTAGCGCCAAGCAAAGCATCAACGGGGGGGGGGGAATCGGAGGCTTGGGTTTCCTAGTCGAAAACTCTCCCCAAGACCTGGAATAAACTGTTCATCCCTAGATCTTGGAATCCCTAAAACCAATAAGAATAACTATATGCAAAAAAGAAAAGTGAACGAGACAGACTCCTAGGTCTCTAAAGCGAATGCTAGCTGCTGAGCAATGTCCAGAACGGACGCCCCAGGTAATGACAGAGATGCTTTCCAACAAAGAAAACGATTCAGAAAGAAAGAAAAAAAAACAAAATCACATGCAACGGAATGAAAGATCGATGCCGCGAGCTGGAAAATGAGACGAAACAACTTTGCGTAAGGGCACAAATAAATAAATAAATAA